CTTTGGATCCTGGGATCTCTTGAGATTTAAAGCAGGACCTGGACACCTGACTCATCCCTCTGTCTTTCCTCCATCTCTGTAAATTTTCATGGAGATTAAAAAGACCTGTCTTTGGAATGACCCTATCATTCTTTGCTTCATTCTTAAATGTAACCGCTATTTCTTTCCTGTTCTTTTCCACAAGCTGAACTGATGCTGAGGAATGAGGATCTCTAGTAGGTACTGTTTGTCTCTTTCCACACTGCTTCCAGGAGTAGCCTGGCCAAGCCTCTAGGCTTTGATTCACCTAACAGTTAACAGGCGCTCACACTCTCCTGTCACTTTTTACAATAAATTGAATCTTGTTCTTGGCTTCGGGTTACAAGTCTGAAGTCAGTGCTGAAGGCTACTGCATGCACACGACAGTGGTGCTCAGCACAGTGAGACCCAGATGGAGAAGCAAGACAAATGCCCATTTGCCTGAGCCTGAGTATAAGCCCTGTCCTGTGATAGTGGGATTCCATGACCAGGCACTGCTGCCATCATAATTTAAATCTCCACAAACAAGAAGGTGAAGGAAAGTATCATTTTTCATTTGTGTTCTAACTAGAATAAAACATGGAGCTATTTGTCAGCTGTTGTGATGGACAATAATAACATAAAATGAGAAGTAAAATATTTTAACCCTCCCATAGATGTGTTTGCTTGTATGAGTCCATAGTATCCACAGAGGCATTCTCTGGAATGTTCTTTCTACAACTAGATTAAAGTTGAATAACTGTCCATTCATATTTTATAACTATTGGCATATTATCTTTCATTTGAGGAAAATAAAATTCATTGTATATTTTCAAAAGCTATGAAATTGTATATTGTAAGTTTACTATATAATGACACTATAGTAACATATCATATGACAATAACATACACTTTTATAATTGACATATTATTGTCACAAGGACATGTGCTCAACTATGTTCATAGCAGCTTTCTTCGTCATAGCCAGAACCTGGAAACAACCTAAATGTCTCTCAACCGAAGAATGGATAAGAAAAATGTGGTACATTTACACAATGGAGTACTACACAGCAGAAAAAAATGACATCTTGAATTTTGCAAGAAAATGCAAAAGCTAGAAAACATTATTTTGAGTGAGGTGACCCAGACACAGAAAGAGAATTATTGCATGTACCGACATGTATGTGGTTTTTAAACACAAAGCAAAGAAAACCAGCCTACAATTGACTATCCCAGAGAACTTATACAACAATGGGGACACCAAGAGAGACTTACATAGATCTAATCTACATGGGAAGTAAGAAGAAAGTTGAAAAAGACAAGATTTTCTGAGTTAATTGGGAGTATGGGGACCTTGGGGGAGGATACAAGGGGAAAGGGCAAGGCAGGAAGAGAAACAGAGAAAAATGTAGAGCTCAATAATTATAAACAAAAAAGGAACAAATAATTGACATATTATATAACATAATTATTGTATTAATATATGTTATTTTATATAAATTAATGTAATATATTATCAATATCCTATATAGTACTTATATATAGTACTATATAGTACTTATATATAATTGATATATATTATATTATTTAATATGTAATTATTATATATTTATTTTAGGAATATATGGATATATACACACACAATAGTTTTTTTCTGACATTAGATTAACACATTTCCTCTTAGGGATGATATGATGATGTGATAAATCACATTCTAAAATTGTGAGTACTATTGCAGATGTGTTACGTCAGAAGAGTTCATGGAGAAGCATGTTGAATCCCCAGGTCTTCATAGGATGGTTCTGAGAACATATGGAGGGAGTGTTGGATTGACATGAAGATGAATGGGCATATAAGGATTTGTAGCTCCTGACCAATGATAATTTAAGATTAGTCACAAACAACAGGGACAAGGAGGGAAGGAACTGGTGCCATAGGGTGCTTAGCTCACTGTGTCCATTTGCACATCTCTCCTCCAGAAATCAGTATGTGATAATACAAGTCACTTATATTAACCTCCTCTTTATAGGTTGTTATGCTGTTGCTGCCATCTCAAGGAAATAACAAACTAGACAATAATTTGTGAAGTATTTCTTAATTTGTGCACATTTCTCTAATCTTCACTCCATTTTCCGTAAGTATATTGACAAATTGATTCATATTTCTTGCTTTATGATTTCAACTAAACTCTAATATTAAACAATTTTCAGTCTTAAATCATAAACATATGTCTCCTCTTTCAATATTTTTGTGCTGTAATAAAGACACGGTAGAGCAGCTTCTAGAAGATGCCTTTGTTTAATGGCATCCACCTGTGAGAGTGAGATCACACAAGCATTACCTTGTTATTAGAAACTCGATTTTGAACACTTTGTGAACTATATAACACTGAAGGACATGGCTGTCATTGTTAGTGGTAAACTTTAAGCAAGCTAATCCTGTCATATAATGCACAGACTGAGAGTGAGGAAATTTTTTTGTTAGACATGATGGCAAGAAATAACATGTAGCATAAAGGGAAAGTTTATAACCTGAAACACAATAGTTTGTAGCAATGTTAGTTCAATACTAACTAAAAGTCAAGATGCACATGTATTGTGTATCTGTGTATCTGAATTGGGGTCTAACATCCTTCAATTGTGGAGTCTTCCTTCCAAGTAACTCACATCAATATTTGAATGCCAGTGATACCAAAGAAGTGCCTAATATAAAATCAGAATCACAGGCAGACAGAAAAGAGTAGCAAAATATTCCTAGGAGCATCAAAAGATTTTAAAATAATTTATTTATTTACTTAGCTACATATTTATTTAATTATTTTGTGTGTGTGTGTGTGTGTGTGTGTGTGTATGTGTGTGTAAAGACCACAACTATAAAATAACTTTTGTAAGGTGACTATTCCATTCACAATGGTAATTCTAGGAATCAACTCCCATTGTGAGGCTTGAGAAGTGCTCTCACATATTCAAGCTTCCTGTTGTTTGAAAAGTTCCAAGTAGGATACAATGTACATAGTTTTGTGCATGTATTCAACCAGAGATAACAGAACCCTAGTTTCTTTCTTTGTTTCCTTCCTTTATCCCTTCCTCTTTCCTTCTGTCCTCCCTCACTCCCTCCTTTTATTCTCCCTCTATGTCTGTCTTTTTTTTTTTATTTTCTTCTTTCTATGGTTTTTGTCTATCAATATTTTGTCTTTAGATTTTTTTTAACTATTTAAATTTTTTCCAAAACAAAAACAAAACAAAACAGAAAAATCAACAAAAAACAAAGCAACATCAACAATAGGAAAACTCAAACAAAAAGAATGAAGTAAAATGAGAAAATCAATCAGACAAAAAAAAAAATAACAAAAAAACCGCACGAGCGCGAACACACACACACACACACACACACACACACACCATAGAGTCTGTTTACTCTTGACTAACTACCCGTGACTATGAGGCCTGCCATAGAGTGTGTTTGATATTTCAGTGACAGTTCATTGGAGATAACTGATTTTTCCTTTTCCAAGTTTTCTTTTACAAATAAATTCAAGCTAAGATTATGACTATTTGTTTACTTCTATTTCTTGCTCCTGGCATTTTGTTTGATTTGAACCTGTGCTGGGCTTATGTGCTTGCTTTCATTGTTTCTATGACTTCACATGTGAATCAGTCCTGTTTTGTGTAGAAGATGCTGTTTTCTTGGAGTCAACCATCATATCTGGATCTTAAGCTCTATCCACCCACCTCCTCTCCTGCATATTCCCTGAGCCTGGTGGATATGTGTTGGACAGAGACAACTGAGGTAATAGTTACTTTAATTATGTATGAACAAACCACATTTTCCTGACATTCTTCTTGGTTCTCCCCAATCACCCTTATTATTTCTTCTATCATGATTCATTAATTTTTGCCTCCAATTTAGAGCAATTTTTCTTTTCTTAACTTCCATCCCCCTAAAGGCCTGCTATTGAAATATAGTATTATGATATTAGATAAGGCAGATTTCCATGAGTGCTTTGGAAACCACCACACGCAATAATTCTTTATTAATACTCCCTAATCCTTACTTAAGAACAAACACAGGCCCACTTTGTTCTTTTCCTGATTTTTTCTTTATAATTTTGTTTTGTATTTCCATGTGATTTTCAATTTTTTAAATTATAATGCATCAAAAGAGTCATGCAGTATTATATATTTATCATCCTAAATGCAAATATTCATCAGTGTGTCTTTATGGTTAGTCTGCTGAGGAACCAAGCAGAGAGATTATGTCTGGATTCTTGAGCATTCTGAGAAGGGGCTCATGGAGTAAATTTTTCTGTCTCAGCATAGGTAGGAAAGGTCTGTAAATAAAAAGATCCTTATAAATTAATGTCTACAATTTCGGTTCTCAAATTTTCTAAAACTTAGAGACCTTAATACAGCTCCTTCTTTTGTGTTGTCATCCAACCAGAAAATTATTCATTGCTATTTTATAAGTGTAATTTTCTACTGTTAAATATCATAATGTAATATTGACTCAACAGGATATCTGATATGTGTCCTCTGTCCTGTTGTGGTAATAACCCATAGGATATGAACACTAACCTACATAGTGTTTCCACTGGGGACAACACAAAAGAGAATTTGTATAAGTCAGCCTCAGAGAAAGTAACTCATGAACTTGATCAGAAAGTGCTTAGTAGTCAAAGCCTTAAGGAAGTATGGTGGTGACAAACATGGCAGACCTCAACCTGCTCAGTGGGCTCCACAGGTTTCACTGAAGAATCTGGAGAATCTAGCCGAGATACGAACATCTATATCTTTGTGACTGCTCATGATCCAATAAGCCCAGCACCTGGGCTACTGTGATCTTTGGGCAACCTCGGGAAGGAAGTGACACCCATTTCTGTTGGCACAAACACCTGAGAAGGAATTTTCTTGAGCATGAAAATTTGCATATTTGCAAGAAGGGCCCTGTCAGATCTCTGAAAAATGTTGAAAGATAAGAGAGACCCACACCATGTCTGTCTCAGCAGAGCTCAGCGGTGTCTGCACCATGGCCTGGATTCCTCTCTTCTTCTTCCTCCTTCACTGCACAGGTTAGGAGAGTCATCTAGACGCCAGTGCCAGTTCAGGGAATCCATCTGACTTCCAGGTAAATTCTTCTCTTTTCTCACTTCCAAGGTGATAACGTGTTCCTCTTTTTACAGGGTCTTTTTCGCAACCTGTGCTGACTCAGTCACCCACAGCCTCAGCCTCCCTGGGAGCCTCAGTCAAACTCACCTGCACCTTGAGTAGTGAGCACAGCACCTACAACATTGCATGGTACCAGCAACAGCCAGACAAGGCTTTTAAGTATCTGATGTGGCTTAGGAGTAATGGAAACTATGATAAGGGAGACAGGATCCCTGATCGCTTCTCTGGTTCCAGTTCTGGAGCTCATCGCTACTTAAGCATCTCCAACATTCAGCCTGAAGATGAAGCTGACTATTTCTGTGGTGCAGATTATAGTGGTGGGTGAACACAGTGACCCAGATAAATGAGGAAGCAGGACAAGAACTATTTTCCTCTTTTGTTACCAACCCTAGTCTATGGTTTTGAAAAGGATCATCTAAAGTTCTTATCACACTCTTTGTATATTTTCTTCTTATTACTCAAGCTTATTTCTACTTATTGCTCAAGGGGATAAATCATAGTTCTAGCTCCTGAGCACCTTAGGAAAGATAAGAAATGCAAGGATTGTATTGACTTCACTCCTGTGTAAATTTAATGACTTTGGAAAATCAAATCTCATGTGTACAGAGTTGAGGAGGTGTGAACATCCTCATATAAAGTTAGAGAACTGGGTTTAAGCTCTCATTGTTACTCACCAAAGTTGACAGAAATATCTATTCATTGTAAAAAAAGGCTTTATTCTCTCATGCACTGTCTTTTAACTCCAGCAAATCACTAAGAAGTACAATGTAAAGACATTTATGAAGTAGTGTGGTAGGGCCCCTAGACACATTACAAAATATTAGAAACAGCCACAATGGCTGAGCATTGTTCTCAAATGTTTACAGACCTTCTATATTGCTTCTGACACTCCTCTTTACTTAGTCAGCCTTCCCAGATATTTTAAAGGAAGGATAAAATTACTACTATATGGTTTAGTCTCTGCAAATTTCTTACGTGTGACCTTTTTATATCAGCATTTTTGGCTGTGTCTCATGTCATGCAATAAGTTTTCTATGCAATCACCATGAACTGAAGCTAGGGGATATAGAACACAGAGGAGGAACAGACCGCACCAAAGTGAAGTTAGCAATCTGTGTGCACGGTAACAGCATATATCCATGAAGTATTAAGGAAAAGGCATTAGCTCATCATCACACACACCCTTGAGAATGGCCAGAAGCCGTCTGTTTTCTTTCCATTACCAAATATCTTATTGCTAGCATAATGTCCTCTTTTCTTGTCTTACTCAACATATCACTTCCAGGTCTTCTCTTTCTTAACCAAACTCAACATCAAACCTACCTAAAGCCAATGAGCTTGTAATGAAATTCTAAAAAATAATTCTTAAATTTCTACCAGATGCTCAAAATTTTTTTTGTTCTCTCTAAATTCTCATGAGATTGAAAGTCTATGAGGAAAATCATACAAATGCATCTTTTTGGAAATATTATTTTTGGATGACCATGCTCACCAAATCACTTTTCTTACCACATCTATTTTAAAAGACCAGATCTGAGCTGTAGTGTGTAGGACTGATGCTGTAGGAATTCCTACAGCCAGTAGCCTTTAAGTTACCCACCTACATGGGTATGTCCTCTTATACTCTATTACTATATATGTCAATATAAAGCACTGGTCTAGCCTCTCTTTGCGTGGCGTGATTCAGTTCCTGTTCCCAGCTCATGCAAAGGATTGTGAACTGTGAGTCTACCCCTAAATAAATAACTTTATATTGTACTCAATTCTGAGCTAGTGTGGGATTTCTTTTTAATGTCCTTTTCATCTGGTACCTACATGGATCCGGATTCCACACCTACTGAGTGGACCAGCTTAGAGTTCTAAGCAGTCCACAGCCCAGAAAGTCTTCCAACCTTACCTGCTTGGCTTACTTAAAACCCCAAATACATTGGAGCTAGCTCTGTGTAGCAGCTTGGAAATTTCTGAGTTCATAAACATCCCCTTCACCACTGCTGCATTCCTTGCCTCATGGCGACTTGTGCAGTTTCTGGTTTGTGCTCCCTGCCAGTGAGTTATGGGCTGCTTGCTCCATGTATGGAATTGACTTAATTGCTTTTAATTTGTCAAGCAAAACATATTTCTCAGTATTTAACCAGTACCAAGGTGGGAAACTAAAGTGGCTCAGGGCTGTTTATATTGCCATGGGTTGCATTGCTGCTCGTTGAGACTCTGCACCCATGACACCTGCTGGACAATAAAGATTATCACACATAAAACAATATACCAGACCTCATAACAGGAAATTAATAAATTAATAAATTTGAAAGTTATATAATGGAAGAAAAATTACCATTAAAACTTTAATTTTTTTTTGCTAATACTATAGATTGCATTCTGCAAGGCTTATATCGTTATTTGATACATCCACTTATTGGACATTTGGACTCAGTTTTTTCTTCATATTATTTAAGAAAATGGTTTGATAACAGAGCCAAGAGTGAGGCACTTTTAGAAATGATATGGTCTTTACAGATTAATAATGAACAGCTAGCTTACAGGATTAAGCTAGCTGTTCATCAAAAGTTACCTGAAAAAAATATACCATTGAAAAGGATAACATCTATTTGACAGACAAAATTGAATCCATGTTTAGGGTACTGAGAAATTATCTTAAAGAATACATACTGTTGAATTTGACAATTAAAATTTGTTAAAATTAATGATAAGTTAGTGATGTAGTATTGTCATCTGTCAATCTGTTTATGTTGATTTCATTGGTTAATAAAGAAACTGCCTTGGCTGTTTGATAGGCCAGCCCTTAGGTGGGTGGAGTAGACAGAACAGAATGCTGGGAAGAAGGGAAATGGGTCAGACGCGATGAAGCTCCGATGATGTGGGAGAGTCTTCTGTTTTGTGTTGATTTCATTGGTTAATAAAGAAACTGCCTTGGCTCTTTAATAGGACAGAAAATTAGGTAGGCAGAGTAGTCAGAACAGAATGCTGGGAGAAAGGAGCCGAGTTGCAGTCGCCATAGCTCTCCTCTCCGAGATTGATGCTGTTTAAGAACATTCCTGGTAAGACACCACCTTGTGGTACTACACTTATTAGAAATGGGTTAATCTAGATGTGAGAGTTAGCCAGTAAGAGGCTAGAACTAATGGGCCAGGCAGTGTTTAAAAGAATACAGTTTCTGTGTAATTATTTTGGGTAAAGCTAACCGGTGGCAGGGAGCCCCAGCTGGGTGGTGGGAAGCAGCCCACTGCTCAATACTACCCTCTGACCCAAGATGGACATAGGCTGGAATCTTCCTAGTAAGTCACCACCTTGTGATGCTTCACAGATTACTCAATATGGGTTAAGATAGATATGAGAGTTAGCCAAGAAGAGGCTAGATATAATGGGCCAGGCAGGGTTTAAATGAATAGAGTTTCTGTATTGTTATTTTGGGGCATAAGCTAGCCAGGTGGCTGGGAGCTGGGCAGCAGAGAAGTGACCCGCAGCTCCTTCTACAAATGACTGCCCAATGTGCAGAACTGAATCCATGGAAAGCCCGAAAGCTTGGGAAAGAATAGAGTAAAGCCATATTTTCTTGGTAGCAGCAATTTCTCAGGTCTGTTCTGCTTGCTAGAGGCAAGCAAGCACTCTCATCTAAGAGAGGCTTCCCATCTCAGTTTTAGTTGCAAAACCCTGCAGCTCTTTTAAGAGGTCCTGCCACGAAACACTTAAAAGGTGTTGATGAAAAGCTGAATGCATGCATTTTGGTTTTTTGCCATAGCAGGAAAAAAGCTGTGCCATTTAAAATGCTGGCTTTCTGGGCCATCCTACCAGGGCAAACTCTGACTCAGAGCAGGCAGTCTGACTGAGTGTGATCTGTGAGTAGAATGCTGCAGCTTGCTTGCTGGCAGGGACCCCGCACCACCATAGACTTGTGGCGGTAAACATGGCTACAGCTGGTATCTCCGCCATGAGGCTGGAAAGCTAAGGAATAGGCTGGATCCAGCCTCCAAAGCCACAGCTTTAATTCTACCCATATTGCTCAGTAATTTAAAGACTCATGTGGTCAGAAAAAGAGAGAGAAAGACAGTAAAGAGAGATTCAAAAACAAAATAAAGCTCTAAATGATTTACTGTGTGTTATAAATGTATGCTGGCTTGGGAGAGAAAAGAAAAAAGTTAAAGTTCTTAAAGTAAATAAAGAAAGAGAGTAGTTGGGAGTGGTAGTACACACCTTTAATCCCAGCACTGGGGAGGCAGAGGTAGATTGACCTCTGTGACTTCAAGGTGTGGCAGGACACACCTTTAATCCCAAAGCCTGGGAGGCAGAGACAGATGGATCTCTGAGAGTTCAAGGACAGCCTGGTCTACAGAGTTATTCCAGGACAAAGATTATAGAGAACCTGTTTCAAAAAGTAAAAGTAAAAATAAACAAAATATTTTAAAATAAAGCTGTAAAAAGATGGAAAATACACAGAAAATCTTGATATTGTATACTATTATGCTCTCTTTGAATAGTTTGAATGCTGAGGAAAGAGCAACAGCTGCTAAAAGATATTTGTTTATTAATGCTGCTGAACTAATCCAAGACAGATATTTTGAAAATTCCTTGACTTCAAAATTTTGATCAAAGGTTATCATGCTTTGGAAAAGTTCTTTTGTTTTTACAGAGGATGAGACCCTGTGGATTTCTTTTATCCCAACATGGTTGATAGACCACGACCTCCTGAAAGGTAGCTGTGAACACCCTCAAAAAATTTCTTCACTCAACTGCTGACTGAGATGAATCTAGCACACAGGTTATGCCATGAAAGACCTGAATAACAGCATGAAGCAGTTTGGAGAGAAATAACTATGCCCATACTCACAAATATTGCTTATAAATGTTCTCTCACATTTAAAGGGGGATATGATAGAGATATGAATAATTTGCATTGGTATGGATTTGATTTTGTTGATATAAATTTAAGGTCAATCTTGTTATATGTATATGTATTTCTGGCCTTGATTAAGGTATAGTGATTGTGTAGTTCATATAAAAATGTAATGTATATAGGTTGTAATGGACAATCATCAATAATAATCAAGCTTGTAGTCATGGTAGTTAGATTTTCTAGATGTGCATAGATATATTTCAGATAGGCATTCTTCATATCTTTCAAAAACTACAGAATATGGCATTTTAAATGTTTTAATAACTTAGGGTTTTTCTTGACAATAAGACACGTCTGCTCCTGGAAGCACCAATCTACTTCAAGAGGAAGATGGGCATTGAAGAGTCTCCTTATGGAGTTTGATAGCCATTTGGGCAAGAAACTGCTCTTGCCTGGACTGTTGCATAAGCTGGAC